TGTGTGTGTGTGTGTGTGTGTGTGTGTGTGTGTGTGTGTGTGTGTGTAGGAAATTTGGAGAGCAGAAAGTTTTCTAATCTACTCCACCATCTTCCAAGAATCCTCCTTGTTTTCCTGATTCTGCTTACTTCACTCTCCATCAACTCATGCTTCCCCGATTTTTTTTTTTGTTTCTTATAGGCTCAACAATTTTCCATCATGTTTGTATATCATAATTTATTTAACTGTTCCCTAGTCAATGAACACTTTATTTCTATATCACCCATATATATATATATATATATATATGTTGCTGTAAATAGTTTGGGAATATATATGGGACTTTTCAATTTCCTTTGGGCAGATGACTAGCTGTGTCAAAAGGTATGATTATTTCATTTCCTATTTTAGCATAATTCAAAATTGTTTTCCAGAATGGTTTTAGTTTACCTATCTTTCCATAGCCCCTTCAGCATGGACTATTTGCATTTATGTCATCTTTGTCAATTTGCTGGGTATGACATGAAACCTCAAAGTTGTTTTGATCTTCATTTTTTCTTAAAAAATTATTTGGAGCAGTTTTTTGTATGATTGTTAATAGTAAAAAAGCTTAAAAATAATAAGCCATGATACAAATACAAATTACTTATTGTCACAATGATAAAGAACAATATATATTAAACTTAATTTTTTATCATGCATATCACACTTAGGACTGCCTTCAGCCATTATTCAGCACACATTAAAGTACATTCAGATGGAGAGGAAAATGTAGTTTTGATACTCATCTAAATTACAGATGTCTCCTGGGTCATTAACAAAGAAAAGAACAGCTGAAGCCTTTTTTTTTAAAACTCTTTTCAAATGCAAGAAATCCTTTGCCATTTTATGACACAGTTTTTGAATACATCAAACATATGAATAGTGATCTTTTGTTAATGGTTCCATTGGACCAGTGGTGATATAGTGGGAAAAGTACTAGATTTGGATTAAGGAGGCCCAAATTTGTATCTTAGGTATACTATATATTGCTGGTGTGACCTTGGGCAAGTCTCATTAGTTCTCCCTGTGTGAGCCTGAATTTCCTCATCTATAAGCAGAAAATAACTTTTTTAAAAATATCCAATCATTGCTACCCTACCAATATCAAAAATTGATGTGAGGATACGTGGGAAAATATATGTAAAGGCGTTTGTAAGTATAATATGTTATGAAAATGTTGACTAATAGGGTTTAAATTATTACCAAACCTATTACTTATTACCAAATCATCTTTTTGCCAACATAAAACCTTTTAGTCATTTTGTGTTTCTGTTGGAGTATCTCCAGGGATGGCTTTAGGGGAAAACGGGGCTAATTTCTATTATTCTACATTCAAGGCAAGTCCATGTACCTTAATTCTTCTATTTTTGTTTTCCTCAGGGTGACCTGCAAAGGACACTCATCCAGGTGGACTTTGGCGATGGCATTGCTGTGTCTTATGTCAACCTCAGCTCCACTGAGGATGGGATCAAACACGTCTACCAGAATGTGGGCATTTTCCGAGTGACTGTGCAGGTGGACAACAGTCTGGGGTCTGACAGCGCCGTCCTGTACTTACATGTAACTTGTATGTTATTACTGTTGTTGGTTTATGAAATACCTAGAGTAGCACACCTTTAAAGACTGCAAACCTAAAATATTCTGCCTAGATGGAACTCCTTGATTTTTTTTTTCAGAAAGAGACAGAGAGATACAGAGGGAATAAGAGATGGGAAGAGAGATAGAGAGAGATGGGAAACTCAAGGGAGAAAGGAGTGGAAAGAAAGATGGAAAGAGAGAGAAGAAAATAAGATAATGTGTTACAGAGGACTTCTGCCTCTGTTTTCTTTTCTGGATGGGTTATCACTGTTCTTGTTTATTTCATACTGACGTAGATCCTTTATACTCCCTTGAGTTGTGAACATGCGAAGAAGCTACCTGTTAGACATTCCAGACTCTAAGAGTATGCCAATCTAAATGCTGAAGCTAGCAATCTGTGTCAGGAATGGAATCTCTCACCCCTTTGGTGATTTCTTGCTCCCATTTGGCTCCTATCTAGCACACCTCTTGGCTGTTTTAGAATCTTGCTTTGATACTGTTCAAACATTTTGTGGCCTAACATTAATGTTTTCTTAATGGTCTGGTATGTGGTTTGTTTTCATGGAGAGAAAATACTATAGATCGTAAGATGGTTATAGCAATTTAGATCTGGAAGGAAGCTAAGATAAACTATGGATAAATCCTTAGCCATGTAGAAGGGGAAGTAGAGATAGAGAGGAAGTGACCTTCCAAAGTGTCATAATTGGCAGGAGACTGAGCAAGAATTAGAGCTGAGGTTGTTGATGCTCTTTCCATTATGTAACCTTCTAAGTCAGGCGACTAAAAACATCACAAAGCACTTTTCCAGAAGTTATCATACTTTACCATTCGGTGGTCCAATTTTCAATCAATCAAATAAGTATTTATTAAGTCTGTACCATGTGCTAACCACTGTGCTAGATGCTGGGGATACAAGTAAATAGAATAAATCAATTCGTACCGCAAGGAGCTTACATTCTAATGGAGAAGGCAACAAGTACATATAGAATACATACAGCATAAACATAAAGCTAGTAAGTGCATTAAAGTACACACACAAAGTAGCTCATTTCAGTTGGAGTCATTTGGAAGCGACCAAGTTGGAGTAGTTGGAAGAATAAAAAAAGGCTTCTTGCAGAAGATGTGCCTGAGAAGGCCAGCAATCTGAATACAGCTACAAGAAGGTGGGGGATTTATCATTCTACTGATGTCATCTGCTAGGCAGCCTTTTCCACTAAACTGTCATCTGCTCCTTCTCCACTGAGAGTTTCCTGCTATCAACTTGCTTCTTCTTCACTCATTTACAACTGCTGGTACATCCCTGGAAAGTCACAGGACTGCTCAGCTTGGTGTGCCCAAATCATAGAAGGTATGCTCCATGAGCAAAGCAGAAGCACAGCAGCACAGAGTTAACATGAGCTGTGCAAATCCAGAGATATCGCCAACCCAAATATTCTAACCGATTACTTGTGACCACCTGGGGTAGAGCCTTCCAAAATCATATTGGAATGATTAGCCATAGCTGAATATATTATAGCTTGATTCCAACATCAAGATGTCATTGGTCTTCTTCTGAAATGAAGAAATAACAACAACAGCTGTCAGGTGACTTTTTCCCACAGAAGAGAATTATAGTCTTCTGTGAGCAACTTTAGTCAGAAATCTAAAGAGGACCATTCTATCCTTTAAAACTGACTGATTCCTCCTTTACAATGACCTCTACAGGTCTGCTTGGTATTTGGGTTGAAGGTGAGTATAGTTCTTTCAACTCTTACCATACTCTTGGAAAATAATGCCAAGACCAGTTAAATTTTCCTGGAGCTTCACATATTAACATTGGAGTGCTGAAGTGGAGTTGGTGGCATTCGTCTTGAATTTCTGTGGCTGTACCCAGATTGATACTATACAAAGTGATTTCATGAAGTGATTACTAGATGCTATAAAATGATTAGCAAACATATTTTCCCAGATTCCATGTATTGCAGACACAAGATCATTTCAAATCTTGGTGAATTGAGTTTGCTTTTGAATAGAAAAGGAAGCTGGATTTTTTTTTTTATTTTTGTTGTTTATTTTGTTGGGTTTTTTTTTTTTGTAAATTCCATGTATTACCCTGAGAAATTAAGTAAAAAGTAAAACAGAAATTACTAGCAGCATTTACCTGCATGCCAACCTCGAGTCATTTTCTGGGTCTAGAATTTTCCAAATTTATCTGGGGTGTTTCCAAATTTATCAGTAGAGCAATCAGTAAATGGTTTATGAGTTTTCCAAAAATAACTTGGATTCTTACTATCTGTTATCCTAAACCTGTCATGGGTTCCATGTTTCAACAGCAATTCAGTTCAACAATCATAACGGTAATAGATGACTACTATGGGGGAAGTACTGTGTAAGGTGATGAGGAAAGAACAACGGGACTGAGACTTTTATTCAAAGAGCTTATAATGTAACAGAGAAAGAAGAACACAGGTGCCTGTGACTAAGGTATAAGGGAGGAAAATGATCACTTCGAAGGAGACATCCAAAAAAGTACTATGAGGCCTTGGAAGAGGAAGAAAATGTTTTCAGTTGAGTTTAGGAAAGACTTCATGGAGGAAGTGGCACATGAAAAGTCTAATTGAATGGAACCTTGAACAGAAAAAGAGAATTCAATAAACAGAGTCTATACCTATTACAGAGAGTTGAACATACATATCCATGAGGAAGATACAGGAAAGGCTGGGTGGTGAGTAGGAATGGAGACTAGGTCAATTTGACATGGAACCGAGAAGATTGTCTTGTTTGTGCAACAGTAAAGAGGACAGTGTCAGTGCATCAAAGAATACATGGCAGGGAGGAGGGTGTGAGAAGACTGGAAATGTAGGAGAGAGCTGGTTTGTGAAGGGCTTTGAATGCCAAGTAGAGCATTTTGTATTTGATCTTGGAGGTGATAGGCATGGAGGCGTGGTGGTGGTGGTATGATCAGACCTGGACTTTAGGAAGATCAGTCTGACAGCGGAGTGGAAGACGGACTGAAGTAGGGAGATACTTTAGGTTAGGAGATCAACCAGCAGATATGAGGAGAAGATGAGGGTCAAGCATAGACTTATGAAAGTATCAGAGGAGAGAAGGGGGTACATATTGTTGATATTATAAAGGTAGAATTGACATAACTTGGCAGCTGATTTGAAAAGGATGTGAGAGAAAATGAAAATTTGAAAGGGATACCTAGAATATACCCTGGGTAGCTAGAAGGATGGTGGTTCCTTTGACCATAATGGGAGGGCTTCGGAATGAATATCTATATCTATATCTATATATATATATATAGAGAGAGAGAGAGAGAGAGAGTAGACAATTGTATACTATATATGTGTGTGTGTGTGTATGTGTATATATATATATATGTATATATAATGTAGAAGGTAATGCTGCCTGCTAAGCCTAAGTGGGAAGGAGGCTTGAGGAGAGAAGAGGCTATGGAAGTACGATAAGGAATCAGTAAAAGATGGATAAAAGGATTTACACGCAAACACACAACTTAAGGGTCCATCTGAGGTTATTTTTGGTTTTGGGTAGATTCAGCCACTGTGGTTTTGTGATTTCCTCCAGCAATGTTCAGCTCCTCATGAGTAGGGAATAGAGTAGATGAATAGGGGTTATCAACATTATTGGATATCAACACCATGCATATAGCAGAAAATTAAGGGACATGACATTCATTTGAGGCTTGACAACACAGCATTATTGGTATGACTGACCATGGCCCAAACCTAGGTAGATAAGGAATTGCAGCCAGAATCATTAGAAGAATAGGAAGAAATTGAGAAGGCTGAAAATTGTAATGAGGGTGAAGAACAGGATTACTAGGAATTGGGGGGAAATGGCAGGATAAGAGATTAGGGTCACACAGAGGAATTTCAGAGATCTTAGAGGTGCAGTGGGTTCTAATAATAAAATGCAGATGTGGCCATCACAGCAAATAGTTCTAGTTGAGCCAATATAATTAATTAATCACACCTCCTTGAGCTCAAGACTAGAGAACTCCTGTATAACACTGACCTTGAGGGGCAGGACTAACATATTCCTTACAAGTTTAACTGTGTCACATCAGAGGTTTACTGTAAACAAACAACTATTATTTGTCCCCAAAACATAAAAGTTCATGAAGTAAGGATCAGTGTTTATCAAGGCTACCATAATATAAACTACCTTTTCCTGAAGCTCTTAGATCACTTTCTCTTTCCATGACCTTATTTATCATGCTCATATCCATGATACAATAGGTATTATCAGGCCTGTCTCCCAGTGGGAGATGGTACAATATAGAGAGGTTCAGTAACTTATTCAAATACCACATGGTGCATCTCAGGGGCAGTGGAACTAGAACCCAAGTCTTTTGACGCCCCACCTTGTTTTACCTGGAGCGTTCTATGCATTTTTGTTGGTTATCTAAATGTGTGGTTGCAGACAGTTCACTCTATTAGCTGAGCTAATGGAATGTGAGCTTGGTTCATTTCAAAATGACACCTGGCTTTGGATTTGCCCAGACCTGAAATTAGGCAATAATTACTCTAGGCGAGCAGCTGAAGGCTGACAGAATGGCTCCTCCTCAGAATCTTGTCCCCAGGTAGACGCTCCCACACAGTCTGCTGCATGTCAACCTTTTCCATTCTCTGCTCTCCAGTACAGAAAGGTTAGTTGAGCCAGAATCAGAGGTTATTAATAAAGGTTTGCAAAGGTCATCAGAAACAAATGGAGAAAATGTTTCAGAGGTGCTATTTCCAGTACTGGGCTGACAGCTTCTCACTGGAGCGGCTGGGTAATCAGCTGCTTCTTGACAGGAGGGAATTCCTTGGGGAGAGTGTCCACAGTGCTCTGTGAGTTTGCAAACTAATGAAACCACAAGATGCAATGATTGTTTCCTTCCTTGGTCAGGAATGCAGATTTCAGGAAGGCAAAGCTGCCTAGCTCAGCCAGTCCTGCAGTTAGCTCATCAGGGACTGTGCAGAGTTGCAGAATGAGTTGAAAAAAAGATGAATAGGAGATCTCTTTCCCCCTCCCCTAGCCACCCCCTGAAAGATAGGCCATTTGTAAATGTCTTTCTTTCTCAGTAGGGCTAGGGGATACTGCCAATTTATGAATAATTCAGATGAAGAGTAGGTAGCTTTTTATTAGTATTCAAATTATTTTTTGATTGGTCAGCAAAGGAATTAGGGTATCATCACCCAATCTACCAATTATTATTTTTTTTTTACAAATTCCATATATTCTTTGTCCTCCCTCAACCCATCCTCCTCAAAAAAAAGTAATCATTTCTATCTGAATAGTAGAAGTGATAGCTAAGTTGTTGTTTTCTAGGGGAGATATATATTCCCCTTTTTCATTTGTATGAAGACCTTTACTAAACACAATTTCAGCCTCCAGATTCAGGTGAGACACTCAGGACCAAAATGTTTGAGGACATCAGCAGGAGTCCACTAAAAATGTTAAATTATAGCATTAGTGGTTTTGGGACTTAAGGCCAGAAGTGTTAAGGTCTTCATGTAGTTCAATAACTCATTTTCTAGGACATTTAAGAAAAGACTCTAGATCTTCCTTGTCCCATAAAATAGTTGCAATACCTTTTATCTTGCAGAGTGCTTTAAGATCCTAAGGGAAGGCGACAAAATGAGAACTTAGCCACCACAAGGGGGCATGCTTGGGATATGAGCTGCAATACTTATGGCACATTGGAAGCTTAGAGGCATACAAAATTAGCCCAGGAGAGAAGGGAAGAATGGGGAGAGGAAAATACTTGCTACTATCATACTAGATGACCAAAGGCATAGAACCTGGAAGAGCAGAAGTGAAGAGACCTGCAAGCAGGAATGTGACAGTCCCCTGCTATGTGTGTGATGGGAAGCACTGCCTTTTTTTTTTTTTTAAGTGAAGAAATAGGTTCCCCAGGAACTGATGAAACTGCTCTGAAACTGACCTCTGCTCCTGAAACTGACCAACCAGTCATTGTCAGATATTTGCAAGAGGATGTGGGGTTCATTTTAATGTGTTCCTGATAGAAGAAAAATTCTAAATGCAATGAATTAAGAGTGAAAGGGTGCTTCTCTGCAAAAAGATTCATCAAGGGAATCTCTCTTTGGTTTGCTTTCATGCTCTAGCTTTCTCTCTCTCTATTGCTATCAGAACTTGCAGCCAGATTGTCCTGAAATGAAGTCCTGCAGGATATATAATACTGACACAGGCATCTGAAGCTCATTTCCTTCCCCTGGGCAAGAAGGGAAGCTGGACTGGGAGCCTGGAAGGCTGCACTCTTAGAATATGATTCATAGCTTCTGAACCTGTTTCCTCACATGTTAAATGAGGGGATTAAACTAAATACGAATTGTAAAGACAGTCCCTTCATGCTGTAACATCGCATCGATTCCAAACTGACATCGCATGAGGAACACCTAAATTCAGCTCTTCTCTGGTTCCCTAGAATTCACTTTTCCTGGTTGATATAGGGTGATACAGCGCCACCTGCTGTCCAATCTTTGCACTGCATGCAAGCAGCTTTCAGGTCCAGCTAGAGAGCATATATAGTCAGCATAACTAAGTTGGTATACCTTCTCTCACATATCTAGTAGAACCCACTTTCCTTCTGTGTCTAGTCATCTCTGTGCTGCACTGAGCTATTTAAGAAGCTAGCTTGTGAGCAAACACTCACCTGGTGAAGTTATTTGAATTGGTCACAAAAAGAGATAACTTTACCCGCTCCTCAGCCAAGGATCCCATTTAGAAGGCAAAGATGCTCCAGCTTTTGACTGGTATCTACAGACTAACACCATGTAGACAATTCTATGTTCAACCTAATGGTCAGTTTATTATACTCATTAAGCGATAATTGGCTGGGAAGAAAGTCCAAATCAGTTTTCAACTGTGGTTTTATTTCCTCTTTTGGTCCCTTAGGGTAACTGTTGGTTTTTCAGCAGACCATGGATGACTTCTTTCTAACTGCTACCGGCATCAACTGGAGAGTTTCGTTTTTTTGTTTGTTTGTTTGTTTGTTCTTTAAGAAAACTTTCATTTGAAAGAAATAGTACTACTACCGTGTGAACAAAATCTACTAATGGGTGGATCATTAATGAACAGGAGGGACATGGTGGGAAGGTTCATCATAACTAGGACAGTGTGACACTTGGATCCAACAAATGATCTTTATGAAGATGCTTTAACTGCTACCTCTGCTTTTTTTGTCCTATCACCATGGAATGACGTGAGAGAGACAGGGAGATAGAAGGAAAAGAGCACCAGACAAGGAGGGTTGTGATCTTTGCTGCTGAGATCACATAATAGTAAATTTAGAGCCAGAAGGGGCCTTGGACAACCCTTTGGCTGACAAAATAGGGTCCCAGAGAATCAAGTGACAGCACAGTATATAGTACATAGTAGGTGTCTAATAAATGCTTGTTGATTGATCGGTTGCCCAGGATTTCCACAAGGATTAAGTAACAAAGGTCAGATGCTTTGTTTCCAAATCTGCTGTTGACTACTTAATCCTCAGAGGTGTTTCCTAGTAGAGTTATCAGTCCTGCAACTAACCTTTTCTATGACCTAGGGTCTATCATGAAATCTCTAAAAGGGCCTGCATTTTGAAGGAGAACTGTATTTGAAATCAAAGGAACTAAGTTCAAATCATGTCTTTGTTACTACCTATGGGACATGGGGCTAGTCACTTTTGTGACTCAGTTTCTTCACCTGTCAAATCAGGCCCTTTATCATGGCTCTCCGACAGTGCCAAGGCCCCTGGTAAAGATTCTGTTCTCCTTTTTAGAACTAAATGACCTCAGTGGTCAGGATTGGTAGTTAAGAAATTAGGAAAATGAACCATAAGGAAGCAGACAGAGGCTCACCAGCCAAGCAGGCCCAGGCTTTCTTGGCCTCCTTCCCAAACATTCCCCTTTCAGTCTGTTTCCACATGGAGAAATGTTCTTCTCCTCACTCTTGTGAATAGTGCTGATCATGATGTGAGTGTTGGCATGCTGTGTCCTGTTCCACTTCAAAGACCAGCTGTATTTTGATGGGGGAGGGTGGCATACTCCCCCAAACTGGGTAAGGAACCTCGAGGAGATTTATCTACAAGATCTCCTCGTTTGTGGTTTCTTTTCCCTTTTGTTTCCACAGGTCCCTTGGAGCATGTACACTTGTCACTTCCCTTTGTCACCACCAAGAACAAAGAGGTAAATGCAACAGCCGTGCTGTGGCCCAGCCAAGTGGGGACCCTGACTTATGTGTGGTGGCATGGGAACAACACAGAGGTAGGTCACCTCTGGCTCCCCACACCAAGAAATAGTCTCCTGTTTCTGAACCCAGGTCTTCCCATCTCTACGGTTCAAAACATCTCCTGTTGACCCATAGCCCTGTCTTGCCCACTCTCAGAATCAAATATATGAAAACTTTTTAAAAGCTACCCAGACTTCAAATGCAAGAACACATTTATAGAATGTTAGTTCTCTAAGGGGACTTTGGGGACCACCTAGCCTAACCCTCTCTTTTGAAAGATGGTGAAACAGAGGCCTAGAGAGGGACAGTGTCTTGCTCATTGTTGCAGATAAGGAAACTGAAGCCCAGATGGTTGAAATGAAGCTGAGCTTCTAGTTAAACACAGATCCAGGACTAGATCCCAGGTCTTCTACACTCTGACCTGCTGCTTTTCCTACTAGACTACATCAATTAATTAATCAACTAGACAGTGATCATAAATATTTCACTCAGGTGTACCTACACCCAGTGGTACAGAAACAGATGTGTAATAGAAAGATTCCTAGAGAAGGGCAAGAGGTGGTAGGATAGGTGATGAGGGTGACGCCAGGGGAGACTGACTTTATCATCAAAGTAATAATAATACCTAACATTTGTACACTGATTTAAGGTTTACAAAGCATTTTACAATCATCATCTTACTTAATCCTCATGGGACAGCTAGGTGACATAGTGGAAAGACGCTGGGCCTGGAGTTAGGAGGACCTGAGCTCAAATTCAGCCTCAGCTTCAGACACTAGCTGTGTGACCCTGGGCAAATCCATTAACCTTGTTTGCCTCAGTTTCCTCATCTGTCAAATGATCTGGAGAAGGAAATGGCAAACCACTCTAGTATCTTTGCCAAGAAAACCCCAAATGGGGTCACCAAGAGTCAGACACACCTGAAACAGTTGAACAACTTAATACTCATGACATTCCTATTTCATAAGTGGAGCTGTTATGCCAATTTTATAGATGAGAAACCCAAGGCCCAAAGAGACTAAATGGCTCCCTCAGAGTCACACAGCTTGTATGTAAGTTTCTCAGGTGCAATTCAAAACCAGGTCTTCTTGATTCTTCGGTCCGGCGCTGCGTGTACTACCCAGGCCAAAAATGGCATTATGGAACTAGAAGGCAATGGAGTTCTTGGTTGTATAGTCTATGCAGGGATTAGAAATATCTTCCTCTCTGAAACTTCCAAAGTGCAGCATGTTCCCTCTTGCTAACTCTGGGAATGAAGTGACTTTGTGTTAGACATCTTGATCTTTGAGCAATGTCACTTTTAATTTGGAGACATTACCCCCTTAGGCTGAGTGCATCTTATGTAAATCAGGAAGCCTCTTCACTAGAGCTGAATTTCTGCTTTTGCTAGAGAGGTGTCTTTGCATAGCCCCAGGGAGCAGAAAGACTTATCTTGTACCTACCTAGTTATGCTTCTTGCATGACTGTGGAGGAGAGTCTATCACTGTTTTCCCTCCCACCTCTGCTGGGAGTAAAGCACAAAGTAGGCCCCCTTCTTCTCCCGGTTAAATTATGTGTACAAATGTGGCCCATTACCTCTCACTGGTGGATGAGGAATGTATCTAGTTTGACCAGGAGAGAGAAAAAGGGAAGAAAAAAATTTGAAATCATTCTGCTGTGTCATTGCAGAGTATTTTGTATGTTTTTCCCTTCTTGGACATACACACACACACACACACACACACACACACA